TTTTTTGTTTATTTAACAAAAAAAATAAAAAAAACAGTGGTGATTAAATACCACCAAAAGAAAGCTCTAGTTAAAAATTTTAGTTTGAGTACAGTGTTGCTTGACTGCGCAATTGTCATTCAAACTGTGAGAGCGCTGAAAGCTAAAAATTGGCCTGGGCAAAAAGAGGGTAAAAGTTCCCGGTATTGAAGTGGTTAACAAATCTGAAGGATCTGCCACAACGCCGAAATGTACAGCTCCTGATGTATGCTAGCAATGGGACCCAAAGAAAAATAAGAGCATTTAATATTATTCTTTTAGAATGAGGTAACATATCATGTAGTAACAGGCTCTTGCTGTTTTCTGTCTTACAAAACGAACATTTGGAACATAGAAAAATCCCACATAGATCATAATTTATGTTTCTGATTCCAAAGCAAAATGTAAAAGGAGTGGTATTATCAGGGCGATAGCAATGGAGAGGGAGGATAGTTGTGTTTTGCACTGAATAAAAACTCACGTTTTGCTGTCTCAGCAGTGTGGTTTAATTTGAAGATTAACCTCGCAACCCGCTCAGTGTGAAATCACTTACAGATGGATCATTGCTCGCTCTGAAACCCCTCACCCTGGGATTTTAAAGAAGGTTTGGAACTATGCAGTGACGGATAAAGACCGGTGCTGAAAATGGTTTTGTTGTGTATGCAGCTGTGGCTCTGACAAGTTCAGTGATTTATCTAATTAAGTGTTGCAGTGTAGACAGCAGAGTTTTACACAGAAAAGGTTCATCACGGAGCAGAAATGTACATAGGTTCATGGATCCAGTACAATCATTATATGACAAGTTCATAAAACAAGGCAGAAGAAGCTTGTGAAAGTGTTGAAGATTGTTCATATACATATCCAATAAGACCACATTTGTTTTTTGTATTGTCTTTTTACAGGATTGGCTTTTTTTGTAAAAGCCAACCTAGTGGCTAATTAGCCACAGGATTGCTTTTACAGGCAATGGGAGGGGTTGCCCCACTGGTGTCTCTCTTGTCCCACCGGAGACCCCGGCAAGGATCAGAAGGTCCCCGTTCAGTTCTATGGTATAGGAAATCAGAAGCAACTAGTACTTTGTCACTTCCAGTTTCCCTCAGATGTATACAGCGCCATTTTTAATTTGGGAAAGCATCTGATCACACTGATCTTGGTGTGCTCACATACTTTCAAGTGCAGAGGGGGACATCTGGGGTCAAATAGACCCCAGATCTCTTCATAAGGAGTACCGGCCACTGCCTATTGCTGTTACAAGTGAAGCAGTACGCTGAAAAAATGAACCTTGTATCTTGATTTCCTGGTAGAGAGAATAGCCTAGGCACTCCCATGGCTGCAACCTCATAGCTGTATATCTGCAATGAGAGATTTAAAGCAATCTTAAACCCAAAAGCAAACATTTATTATATTGCAGCTTATCAATTCTTAGATGTAATGGCTGTATTAGTTTTCCTTTTTAGGCTTTCTTTCTTCCAATTTCATCTGGTGATCTGGCCAGTAAGTCTGTTGTTTTCCAAAAGAACAAGCTTTCCTGCAGATGTAGCAGTTTCCAGGAATGAGACAAATGATTTAACACAGAGGTCAGGGGTGCTTACAATGAACAGGTTTTATTTATTTATGTAAAACCTTTCTCCCAAAAGAAGAAAAAACTGCTGTTACTGCTAATACAGTATTAGCGGAAGTTTAGTTTCAGTTTCTTTGTGTGTTTAAATCTGCTAGTCCATCCAACACTTCCCTCCCCCCAGACTGATAATGCTGCTGTCCAGAGGCGCCCCCTGTTTTCCTTCGTCCAGAGCGGGGGCACTCTAATACAGGAGTTGTGTTACTGGCCAGAGCACCAGGCAAAAACAGAGAGAAAAAAAGCCTAAAAATAAAGAAAACAAATGCAGCCACCACATCTAATGATTGGTAAGCTTCAATATATTACATTTTTGGTTTTATGTTTAATGCCGCTTTAAGACACTGCTGCCTGAATCAGAGGGAGATTTGGTGATGACTGTTTGGCTTACTGTTCTCCTTGCTGGATGCTTTGACTTGAGGAAGCAAAACCCTTCCTCTACCAAGATAACTACCTCCACAGTGCAGAACAAGCCCTGGTTATTCATTATTGTGGAAAAGATGGGCTACAGGGAGACCACAGGCATTACTGGTGGCATTACAGGCCTTTGTCCTTAATGTCTCTCTTTAAGCAGTGCAACCTGATCCAGGATCCACTCCTGTCCATGATTGCAAAATGAAGAAGCAACATTATTAGGCAGAGGTCATCACTATGTTCTACCCCTCCTGTGAGCAAAAGAAAGATGAGAGCACCACACAAAAAACTTGAATAAGTCCATTAAAAATGTATTTTTTGCAATTAGAAGCTAATGTGTAGCCAGGGCTCACCCCCTCCCTTTCATCAGAGCATTAGGCTCCATTCACACTGGGCATTTTAATAATGCTGGTAATGTCAGCTGTGTAAAGTCACGTTACTAACGTGAGTTTTTCAGCGGTTTTACATTAGCGTTTATCTGCATTTTGCTAAGTTCTTTCACGTTTGCGTTTCTTCGTGGATTTTTTCTATTTAGAAAAGCGCCAGTTTGCCCCGTTTTGCCCCGTTTTTCAGCGTTAGGCCCCGTGTACACGGAAAACTAAACGATGGAAACTGACTGCTGGAAAACGTAGGTTAAAAAATGTCTGTTTAGACGCGTTTGCATAAAGCGTTTATGCGCGTTTAGTGCGTTTGCATTTGGAAGCGTTTTTGTAAAGCTAAGCACAGCAGAACCTCCCAAATGCCAAGAATGCACTGAAAAGTGGTAAATTAACTATTTCAGACTGTTTCAGAGAAATACAGAGAGTAGAAGCAGAGACAGCAGTATGTGTTGAAATTAGCATAGGGGGTGAGTTGCTCATTCACATTTCTTTTGTTTCCAAGGGTGAGAAAGGTGTCTGGTGGAGTGAGTCATTAAGGTCACCTAGCAGGGGGTCTTCATGAGGAATTTCAGGTGTGAATGGTTATTAGCATATCTTTTGTTTCCAAGGGTGGGAGAGGTCTGAGCTGTGAATTGGTCATTACAATGTGTGTGTGACAAGCTTGGTAAGAACATCTTGTGTTCAGTGTTTTGTCCATTTGAGTACCTTGAAAACGCTTTCCATGCATTTTTCATCATGAAAAAAGGCTCTGGACAGCATCGGGAACTGGAAGAGTTAAAGAAAAATTTCACACGTCCACGTTTATAAACATGATTTGCCACGTTTACAAGCGTTTTGCGTTTGAAAAGCTGATAAAATCGACTGCTGAACACAAGTTTTCTGCGTTCAAAAAAACCGACTGTAAACTCAAATGCCTGTAAACGCCTGTAAACAACGATGTGTACATGGACACATAGGAAAACATTAGGGGGAGTTCAGGGGCTGCTGAAAAAAAAACGCTGAACAGCTCCTAAACGTGAGTTTATCAGATGCAGTGTACATGAGCCGTTAGAGCATTTTCACAGCTAAAGAATTCCTCTAGAAACCCACTAGTTCTGGGGGTTTTTTCCAACCAAAAACCGCCCCTGCCAAAAAACGCTGATTACAGTCTATGTGTGCATGGACACAAAGGATAACATGCTGGGGAGTTTACTGGCTGTAAAAAAACGCCTAAAGGCAAAAGCAGCCACTGTAAAAACGTCCAGTATGCAGGATCACTTAAAAGCTGGAATGAAAGTATAGCTACAGGCAAAACCTGTTTGTTTTTTGTTTGTTTGTTTTTTCATTTTGGACATGGTGGTGATGGATTAGAACAGCTGTTATTGCAGCCTGTTCCCCCATTAGGCTCTATTTGTCCTGTTTATCATTATTATTGAAAGTGAAAGTAAGGGCCAGTCCACAATAGTAGAAATCGCACAGGAACACGTGGTTCAGTGCGGTGCGATCTGAACCCATTCATTTTGAGGGTTATAACCCTCCTTTACCCTATCCAAAAAGAAAAAAAAAATGGATTGCCTATAGTTCTACTTTCATTTCAGAGAGGGACAGGACAATAATTACAAGTCAAGTGAATGCCAAGTAAGTGATTTGGGTCGCCAAAGTGAGAGGCTGTCAAGTCAACAGAGAGTTGCATCTAAATCTTAATCTTTTTCTACTCTCTCTGTCTTTGCCAGGCTGTTCCCTTTGGTTCTGGACTGTAGGTTTTGCAACAGATTATACAAATTGCCTCTTTCACCCCTCAATCCCCCCTTCATCCCCCTTCCCCTCTCTTCTCTTTGCACCACCCTTTTTTTTTTTCCTTTTTTTTCCCCTTCCTCTCATTCTTGGTGATGACAAAGCCTCTTCTTTATGCTCCACTAGGTACGTGTTGCTCCATTCTGTGGGTACCATACTGTAATACAGATTAGGTCTCATGCACACTGGATGTCATAAAAACGCCAGTAATGTTAGCTGTAGCGTGCTGCGTTAAAACCGCGAGTTTTGTTGTGTTTTTTAGAATTCTTGCATTAGCTTTTGCATTTTTTAGCAAAATTATACTCCCCCAAACGCTTGAGGCTCAAAAACGCTCATAAACGCTGGATAGCCACCTTTTTCAGCGTCTTTCAGCATTAGAGCGTTTTTACAGCTGAAAACTCCTCTTCAAACGCAGTAGTTCTGGAGTTTCTTCCAGCCTGAAAAAAAACGCTAATATAAACCTGTGTGTACATGGACCAGGGCTGCTGTTAGAAACCATGGTACCCCATACAGCCAGCCTGACATATTGTGACATATTTATCGGACCCCCCCAATCTCCATCCTGAAGGATCCTATTGTGTGCTTGCAGCTGCCAGTGGGAAGGAAAGGAGGGAAGCTGACACTGTAGGGGCCCAGGCAGGTGGGTGAATAAGATGAACACAGGGCGGGTGATCGGCATGGTTGGCGAGGCGGGGGGGGGGGGCAATTACTGGAACCAGTAATTCCCTGTATGGCTTTCTCTGCAGCAGCTGAGACCAGTGGGAGGGAGAGGAGAAGAATCCAGCTTTCAGATGCTGTAGAGAGAGCAGGGGCGGACTGACAACTTATGGGGCCCCAGGGCAATAGGGGATCATGGGGCCCCTGTGTCCTTGCCCAAACTCAAAAAAGCCTATGAAAAAGGTACCAGGGGCATCTCATGGGGCCCCCTACTGACCCCCCAGGGCCCTCGGGCAGTGCCTGAGTTTCCAAATGGTCAGTCCGCCCCTGAGAGAGAGCCATACAGGGCATCGGTTCCAGTAATTGCCCCCCTATAATGCTGATCACCCTCCCTGCCCACATCCGATTCATCCAGCTGCCTGGGCCCCCCTACTGGCCTTGGCCCCGTACAGGAGGACTAGTGGTACCCCCCCTTATCCACGGCCCTGGACACATAGGATAACATGCTGGGGAGTTTACTGGCTGTAGAAAAAAAAAATATTGACGCCCAAAACAGCAGATGTAAAAACGCCCAGCGTGCATGAGACCTTATGATCAATACCTCTTCTTGTGAATCTGAGATACCATCGTTGTTTACTGTAAGTCTCTGCATGTTTTTCTTGATTGCATACCTTGAAGACTTTAATAAAAATTCTTACTTCTAGAAAAAAAAAAAAGTTTTTTCTGGGGTTCATCACTCTACCAACGCAAATACTGACTGTCTCAAAGTGTTCACCTTATTACCTTTCCCACTCTAATTTTACAATTTATACTGTGCGGATATCAAATCTGATCCAGGTACTTCCAACAGATGTGTACAAAATGAATTTTTTTAAACAAATACATGATTACATTTTCTACATGGTGTAAGTTCTGCTTTTAAGTACTGTATGTGTTTGGTAGTTCAGGCCACTTACTAACTACTGTTTCTCCAGAGCAGAGTGCAGCTGTGTACAGCATATTCTATAGTGATCTAATAAATTACCATCAGTCCCCATATTACAAGTGCTATAATTCTGCTGACTGTGTAAAACTGTCTCTGTAATGCATTGACTATGTACACTAAAGTCTCCCATGTGGTCATTAGAGATATATTTTTAAAGACTGCTAATCCTACCCACTGACGATATGTCCTCGTGTCTATTGTTTCTTTCTGGCACAGGCTAATAACAGTTTGTCTCTGTTTCTGATGCTGTGGAGATACAAAGATTGGTTTCTTGTCTGTCCTTATCTATTTTTTAAAGGACAAGTTCACTTTTCTAACACCCTTCAAACACCCCCCTGGCATTAGAAAGAAGATCCTTTGTCTCCCTGCAGGTCCAGCTGCCCTCTACAGTCTATGGGCACCATAACGGTCCATGTTCACTCAGCTTAAAAAAACGGCAGATCTCTTGGTAGAAAAAAAAAAAACGCTCATACAGAGCGTTTTTGTACAAGAGTTTAGAAAAGATTAGGAGCTTTTAGGAGAGTTTAGGAGCATTTGGTGTTTTTTTTCTGCCAGAAAACTGCTCTCAAAACGCAAACCAGATGGTTTTTTTTTTCTGTCTCTAAACATCCTAATATGCATGGACACATAGGATAACATTGAGCTGCTTCTACAGGCAAAATGAAAAACTCCTGTGGAAGCAGCATTTTTAAGTCAGTATGCCTGGATCCTCAGAGACAGAGAAAAAATAATAAACATTCTATAGTCTATGATGTCACAAAACCCCTAGCAAGGCTTCCAGGAGCCAGGGACCGTGTGATCTTTTTGTCTTGGCTTTAGGTGCTAGGATTGTGGAAGGAGGACCTGAGCACACCAAGTAAAGGAATTATGTAGCTATTTTAGCTTGCCGTGGTGCACAGTAGGAGTGGCTTAAAGGGGAGGTTAAACCAAACCCAAGTGTATTTGCTGAATACACTACCCACCAAGGTAATTGGAATTCAGTCCTAGCCATCCCTTCTCAACCATTTCAACACAAAGGAACCCTTGAAATAATTTTCTAATCTTAGGGATCCCTTGCTAACAATTACTATATCTACTCATGATACATTAGTGTGATGGTAATTAAGAAGAATTACTTTTATAGATAGCTAAAAAAAAAAAAATCAGTAGTGTCATTGGAAACTTATCTGAGAGGCAGAATTTGCTCATTGCTCAAGGAACCCCTAGCAACCTCTGGAGGAACCCTAGGGTTCCATAGAACCCTGGTTGAGAAACCCCGGTCTAAGCTATGCTGCATCTATGCCAATCCCCATCAGAATTGCTATGGCAAGCTTAGACATGGTTATTGGGCAAACATTGGTTGTTTCAGGCAGTGCATCACCCTCTTGGGTCTCAGCAGCTTCATTCTCTGCCTCTGTGTCCCCTGGCCTCCTGCTGCTTCTCCTAAATCCTATTGTTCACAACCTAAGGTATGTGAGGGTGTCTAGATTTATCCCCGCCATGACAGCCATGGCAAGCTGTCGAGTGGTGTTCACACTAACTCAACCAGAGCTGAAGCAGAGAGGCACTAATTTGACTGCCGTCAAGTGTGAACTAGGAATGAGCAAACCTACCTGGAATCACTTTGTGAGCAGTTCTGTGAATCTTGCTCAAAGTTCAGGAAAACTATTGAAGGCTATGTGGGGAGGGGGTATCTTGTTATTCAATTCTGACCATTTGTAGGTCTAATAAGCAAGCTATTGTGCAAAACAAAAAGAAAAGAAATGGGAAGCTGGGCACTATTATGGTGGACACGTTCCAATGCCAAAATCACAAATATAATGAAAAAAACACATATTGCTAATATGACAGCTTTGAGCCCACCTTTTTATAGAAGTGAGTTATCCATTCAGATATTTAACTGTCATGCATCAAACATGCACAATCCAAGATGTTCATTTAACAATAGTTCAATGTTGATGTAGACATCTTCATGCTGGAGTTGCAGTTGCACCTTTCCCAGGTATACCTTATGGGCACCTTTCCTAGGTATATCTTATGGGCACCTTTCCTAGGTATATCTTATGGGCACCTTTCCGAGGTATATCTTATGTCTGTTCAAACTGGCACTGCACTGTCATTATGGAGAATCTGCTTTAGGTCCAGCAAAGTCACAGACAGGGGCGAACTGACCATTTGGAAACTCGGGCACTGCCCGAGGGCCCGGGGTCAGTAAGGGGCCCCATGAGATGCCCCTGGTACCTTTTTCATAGGCTTTTTTGAGTTTGGGCAAGGACACAGGGGCCCCATGATCCCCTATTGAGGGCCCGGGTCAGTAGGGGGCCCCATGAGATGCCCCTGGTACCTTTTTCATAGGCTTTTTTGAGTTTGGGCAAGGACACAGGGCCCCATAATCCCCTATTGCCCGGGGGTCCCATGAGTTGTCAGTCCGCCCCTGGTCACAGATAAGTCTCTTTATAACATGAACTGCAGTTCAGCTGGAAGGTGCATTGTGGGAAGGACATTAATATTTTTAAAACTGACCACACATAAAATTGATTGTACAATTCCCTTTATTCTTACCAACAACTATGTAGTTCAGGTTAACAAAGGCTGGCTTTACCTGAACTGAACTCTACTATTTTTAAGTGTTGTTTTATCATTATTTTACTACAGATTCAGCAAAACCGAAACCAAGTATGGTTCCAGATCTTTATCTTCTTCCGCAACTTGGTGGTACCTCGTGACAGGAACAGGGGTGTCATCATGAGGTGAGGCTCATCAGCGTATTGCAATCAGTTCCGATGTTGAACCACTGGAGGACTCTGCACCATATAATACAGAAGTAGAAGGACTATCTCAGTCAGGATTTTCTGTAAGCAGATGGGAAGTCTGGTCCAACACTGCTGAGAAACCGACTTGTTTACAACATGTTTATATCTGCAGACGTAACCTGTGTAGTACTGAAATAAGAAGAATAACGGAACAAGGACACGTGTATGCTCCTCTAGATGTGCCTTATCAGCTTTACACAACCAAAAAAAACAACACAATAAATCAAGGGAATTTCCACTTTTGCAATGGTACATGTCCAATGAGCAGAGAAGAGTACAAGCACTTACCAACCATGGAAAATCCCTGAAAGCTCTTGCACATGTTTAATACAAGAATAGTTATTTACTTATATAGTAAGACATTCCCAGATGCACATTTTAAAGTTAGTATTTCAGAAGGGCAAGTGCTAAACAGAAAATAACCACTTTTGTATTTATTCTGACATAAAATATTGTATTTTAAAAAAAATTGTCAGGTTGCATCTTCTTGTAATCCCATGTACACCTACAATCAGAATGACTGTAGGAAGCTATGCACTGAGAGCAACAGTGCACAGATAATAACACAGTGCTATCATCTTAAAGGTACCCAAACATGTAACAAGTTTTTGTAAGATTTCCAATTCTCATTGATTTTTTTTTCTTGCAGTCCAGTAGTTCTATTATTGTAATCTCTCTTGGTTGTGTTTCTGATCAGGTGCAAGTGGAATTTCGGCAGAAATGTGATTTGTATTGTCCATTGAAGTTTAAAACTTTGCGGGGTGCTTGTTTAATCAGTCATGATTGGCTATCGCAATTATATATGTGAGGTTATTTTCCTTAAATGATGTGTGGGGTAATTGATTCCAGCTGATTTTTGGCCATTTTTTTGTTTCCTAAAGATAAGAAATGGTATTTCAATTGGATCTGAAATAAGACCCGAACAGTGCCCCCATGAGCAGGGTAGGTGATACAAGGGGCTGCAGAGCTGGTAGGGTGGTCAGGAGTGTTACCCAGTTGGCTGTGCTGTGTAACTGAAACCTGTATGTACATTTTATTGAGTGTATAGGAAAATGAAATACCGGAATCTGAAAGTATACTTGTGTATGTAAACAGATGTTCTTTGTTCTGGCATACTTTTTATATCAGCAGTGTCAGTGTGAGATAGGAAGCTTTAGCTGTACCTTCTAACCTCTTTCATTAATAAAGTAAGGACATTTCAAAGAACTTCAGGAAACCAAACCCTGCAGAAGTAGGGTAGTGAAATTGTATGTATACCTCAATAATGAGCTTCTTTTATTTGCCCCCATTTGGTCTGCATTGAAAGTGGTTTGTTATATCCGTTTGATAAGTGCAAAAGAAATTACCTGTTGATTTTGCCAGAAATCTTATGAACTGATGACTTCTTTTGCTCCATGCCTACACATGGAGGGGTTATGGAGGTGAGAAAGAGGAAGGAGATTAGGTGAGATATGTGTTCTTTGTAATGTATCCAAATGTTTGGTGGGCAGGGCTGACACCATGTGCTTTTGAAATTCAGAGATAAAAATTCACCAGGATTGATTTCCAAAAACTGGAGAGTGCAAAATATGGTGCAGCTGTGCATGGTAGCCAATCTGCTTGTAACTTAAATTTACTCCTTGGTGCCGACGATATGCAAATATGTGGCCTCTTGGCGACTGGGCCTTGATGCCGAGAGGGCCGCATATTTGCGTACCCAATGTAAACAAACGTGGCGAGAGCATGTGCCCTGTGCACTCCATGCACATTTACCGGCACCTCACGGAGAGGTCCCGATCGCTAATTTCTGATCATGTGACCACTGTGACAGCCAATAATGGCGATCATATGAACCTAAACCCCACCCACCTCCTGGTGTTGCAAACCCCTTAAAGGACCAGGAGGCACCAGAGTCAATGGGTTAAGCTTTGACAAAAAAAACAGGAAGCTGATTGGCTTCAATTCTTCACCTGATTTTGTAATCTCCAGTTTTAGTAAATCAATCCCAATGTGTTTCCATGTCAAAAGAAGGAGGTAGGAAGGAGTACAGTATATTTTTTGACATATTAAAAGCTATTTTTCTGTACTTACAGGTAGTTACTCTCATTACATCTGTTACAATTTAGGCTGCTGCAAATCTTGGCTTTTTATGCTGTCCACAAAGCTGAGCTCTAGTCCACCTTGTACAGGAAAGTCAGAAATGTTCTATGGTCATGGTTCCTGACTATAGCTTTTAAGTATCCCAAACAGGTCACACTTTCAGGATTTTCTTCACCTTGCACAGATGATTTAAATCACCGTCAATGGCTTGGTATTTATGACAGCCAAAACATGGCCTCTTCAGGGTACTAGATAATGAGATTGGGAAATACTACTCTATGGGGTTGACAGTTAAAGTATAACTAAAGGCAATTTTTAAAAAAATTTTGGATAAAGGGATTAGATCCCCTGTCAGGTATTTTTTGCTGTAAGTTCCCCTGTTAGGGAGATTCCCTCTCTGTAGTCGTCATGTTTAACCATTATCCCTAAAAATTAAACTGAAAGTCCCCAGAACAGTATTAGAGGGGATATCTTCCAGTGGAGACACTTGTCTGGCAATACTAGTGACAACCAGGGATTGCCTCATTTTGGAGGGTTTTGTTCTCATTTCCTGTTTTAGCTATGCGACTTCTGTTGTATAGTCATATTGGTTTATATGGTATTTCCAAGCAGTATTACTTTAAGCATGCCCAGCCCACGTTCCACCACAAATTTGACTGTAGTCAATAAATTCTTACCTACATTACTAAGCACTGAGGTTGATTTGCTAAGGGCAAATAGGTTGTTTGCTTAGCAAGGGAATTTGCCCCAGGGGTTTGAATATGATTGTTTCACTTTGTAATGAATACCCAGTCATTCAGCAATAAAAAAATCAAACTTTTCAAGATGAAACTGGGCCACTTAAAAGATATACATAGAATTAATATGTGCTCCCATTGTTAAGACATAACATTTCTATTTCTTATTTTGAAATTAAAACATATATCCCAGTTATATACAGTAGGCTGATGCTGTAAAACCGTGGTCTCCAAACTAAGGCCCAGGGGCCAGATGTGGCCTTTTACTTGCCTTTATCTGACACCAACGATGAGGTACTATTCCTACCACTGACACCAAGGATGGGACACTCCTCCTAATACCAAAGATAGGGCATTGTTTTCTCCCACTGGCCACAATCTGACCCCCCTAAAGTCTTAGGTACATTAAACTGGAACTTTGTTTAGAAACTTTGAAGACCCCTGCTGTAAATGAATGTAATTACAAAACTATACATGCAATATATTTTCTAAAATGTTCTTTACATGTGATGTTTTCCTGCAGAAACTGGTGTCTCCACCCCCTCCACAAGGCCATAATGAAGGTGTCGCTGCTGGTTTCCTCAAATATTAGTTTACTGTACATTATAGAGATTCCGACAATGGGATATGACACTGACATTACTTTTGTAAAAGCTTTAGAAATTTCAGTGGTGATATCACATTACTAGACATCCTGGGAGATACTGTACAAGTAAGATACAAAGTTTAAAGGGGACTGTATAGTGTTTTTTTAGCCCTGGTTCACACCAATGCGGCTTGTCAGGCGACTAGCCACTTTGAAGGCATTTGACAAGTTGCATCCATTGTTTGTCTTTGGCCCTATTCTAATAGTTGTGACTCAAAAAATGGTTCCTGCACGTCTTAGATTGTAAGCTCCAAGGAGCAGGGCTCTAGTAACCCTCTTGTATTGAACTGTATTGTCTCCCGTTATATTGTGAAGCGCTGAGCAAACTGTTGGTGCTATATAAATCCTGTATAATAATAATACTTTAATGCAACTTGCTTACTACTTGCATTGAGCTGTATGATTGAAGTTGCCTGAAGTGGCAGCAAGTCTCACAGAACAGTTGGATTTTATAGTCACTCTACTTTAAAGTCGCATTGTTGTGACTTGGGGCTAAAACGTTTAATCACGTTCATAACTGAAAAAAAAGTTGACTTTCTAACAAGTAAATTGGATTTTTTAATTTGATTTAGTAGCCAACTGCAACCCTTAGTTTGTGTTACTAATTTATATATATATGATTCCTTTTCTAAAAAACCTCATAAGGATTATTGAAGTATTCACAGTAGTTCTTGCCTTGAAAGGGCTTAAAGGTTGATATCCGTACTACAGCCATACACATACAAAGTAAGGCCAATTTGTGTGGAAATGTACACACATGGGTCATTCTGAATCCCTTAAATAATCTATTGCTGATTCATTCATACTGGGGAGTTGATCATTATCTTGGATATGAGTAGATTTGTCACATTCTACTGTGGGTGATGGGAATTAGACATCTGCCTTGCATGTTAATGAAAAGATCTTTCATAATAAAGCAGACCTTACATTAAAAAAACAAGGTTGATTTAATAAATCAGCACTCCCCACACAATAAATATTGGCATTAGATTTGGACTACTCGGAATTTCCCGGGCTCTCGCCAGTAGGGTGGCGATGTCACCCGCACCTTGGTGCTGCAGGTGAAAAGTAAATTTACTGACTTTTTTTTCTCTGCAGGTTTTTTTTAGCTTTAATGT